CCACACGTGTGTGCCCTGTCCTTTGTCCCGGGCCCGTGAAGGAGGATTATCCCGGTACTTTGCTAATGGGGGAGTCTTGGGTCGGCCCACGCAGGCGCCAAAGGCAGACGGGCGAAACTCTGCAAGGTGAACACTTAGGTCTGAGCGCAGGAGAGAGAAAAGTCACAAAGATTCTAAGAAACAAAGGTGGTGGCCTCTGACGCTGAGCTTCCCTCCGGATTGCTTGTATTTTCGGGGAAAGGGGTGGAAACCTGTCTGACACAGGGACTCAGCAAAGCCCTCCCAGAGCCTGACACCAGACCCGGGGCCTGGGCCGGAGCGCTCGGAGGGACACTTCCCTGGCAAAGTGGCCATCTCCATGGTTCTGGGCTGCCAGGAGTCCTCCCTCGCGGGTGCCATGATGTAGGTATTGACGAGACAAGGTGATAAGATGGATGGGATCGATGGAAACACCTCCTTCTATTCCAGAGCCGCACGCAGTGTCCTCCCGGCACAACACAGTGATGGAAGGGACTAGGACCCTGTGCTTACGCCCAACCCGAAAGTAAAGAGCTCATCCTGTTCACGGGGACGCCCCTTTGACAGGCTTCTTCTGGTCAGACACCCCATGGCCCCACGTCGCCTTCACTGAACATTTTTTTTAGAAAAAAACAAAAACACACAAGTGAACAATGCCGATCAGCATTCGCTGTGCCACAGGATTCACCACATTTGCAACCAGGCAGGCTGCACGGGTTTCCATTTCAACATAAGAAGGAGAGAAGAGCAGAGAGGAGACAGGCAGGGTCCTCTGTTTTGAAACATGTAGCTGGTTTATCGAGGGAGGGTGTTCCACTGCAGGGGGTCGGGCAAACTGCGGCTCTCAAGCCACTTCCGGCTCTTCGGGCCCCTTGCGTGTGGCTCTTCCACAAAATACCACGTGCGGGCATGCACGTACAGTGCGATTGAAACTTCAAGGCCCATGCGCAGAAGTTTTCGGCTCTCAAAAGAAAGGTCAATCGTTATGCTGTTGATATTTGGCTCTGTTGACTAATGAGTTTGCCGACCACTGTCCTAGACAGCCCCTGGGGCTCAGGGGTGTGCCCACCGAGACGGCTCCCTGCCAAGGTGTTATGGTGCCGGGCTCAGACTCATCTGGACGGACACAGACCCCCCTCTTCCAGGGAAAGGTAGCAGGACAGCCCTCAGGCCTGCTCTGTGTTTGTGCCAGAACACAGGGCCAGTGCCAAGCGTCTGTGGCAGAGGAGCCTGCCCATCCTGAGCTAACAGCACCGGCGTGTTTCCGAGGAAGAAAGCAGCCAGCTACCCGGGCCCAGCTCCATTGTTGTATCAGCTCCCCATGGCAGCCACCTGGGTGCAGGGAGTGGCGGGCCTTCTGCAAGCATCACCCTCGTCCACGTTTACTGGGCACTTAGCACAGCCCCAGGCTCAGCATCTTGCAAACATGACATGGTCAGGGCATCCGGACAGCCCTTCTGAGCTGACGGAGTGGTTTCCTGAGACACCGGCACCTTCCACCTGCCTGTCAGGGCGGCCTGCACGTCCTCTCTAGCTCACAGACTTGGAAACCGAGGTACCTTTGCCCAGTGGCTGTCTAGAAAGTGGCCGGGTGGGACTTTCCCGGGAGGTTGATTTCCAGCGCTGGCTGCTGCCTGCGTCCCAGGACCCGGTCCTCAGCTCACAGGAGACAGCCACTGCCATCACCCACAGTGACCCTCCAGGCCCCACTCCGCCCAAGAACAGGTCTGCTCTCCAAGTCTCGGGGGAGGGCATGCTTCCCCAAAAAAGCAGTTCCCTGTGGACGTCCTCCCTTGTCAATATCACCAGGCAAGGTGCCCACGTGTAGGGAACTCCCTCTGCCCCCCGCCCCCCAGGTCTCCAGTCACTGTCCATTGTCCTCAGGCAGGGGACGTGGGGTTCAGGTATGGACTTCAAAGGGGAGAAGCCTGAGCGGCCTCCCAGGCGACCTGCCCCCAAGGCTTGGATGTTCTCACCAGGGGCACCATGTGTGTGTGGGGGGGAGGGTCCCTGCAAGGACAGGTGACTCCTGCCCCCCAGCAGCTCCGGCTGGGGTTCAGGAAGCCTGTCCTTATGAGGTTCCCTGCTGCCTGCTTTCTCTGCCCCATGCCGACCGCCCTCTCCCCTCCCTCCCCAGGTACCCCCATACCTGGTGGCATCCCTAGTCCCCTCCGGAATGGCCTTGGCCTTTCCCAGCCACACCTGTCCCTCATCCCCTCGTCCCAGCGGCCTGCATGCCGAGCAGTGAGCCAGGCGAGCGAGGCTCCCTGATCAGACATCGCCACACCCTCCCCAGGGTGGTCCCACGTCCCCGGCTCAGAAAGTCAACCCCCTCATGGAGCCCCACACTTGCATCCCGACTGGGGCAGGGCCTGCGGCTGCCTCATGGCCCTCGAGCGCCAGCCGTCACCCCAACTCGGACCTGAGTTTGCCTCCCACTGGCAGGCAGGTTAGTCCCTCGCCAGGTCCACCCGGCCGCGCCCCAGTCCTCGAAGGACAGTCTGCCTCTCACCCTTGGCCTTTTCTCCCTCCCTCCTGCTCCACCCCCCCCAGTGCCACCCACTTGCATTTCTTCCCTCTCTCCCTCCCTGTCTCCCTCTTTCCCCTCCCAAACCCAGAAGTATTTGATTAGATTGAAACTTGGCACTGGAGTCACCAGCCTCGAGGCAAACATTTGTCCTAGAATTTGCTGGAAATCACTTGGCTGCTCTTAGCAGGGCAATGGCAAAAACCAAGCAGCCCCCCCCCCCCATTCCTTCGCTTGCCCCCCTCCCCTGCCTGCACGCTGCATCACGCAGCCTGGCTGAGCAGAGGCTCCTGGAATTCCCCAGACGACACCCACCGCTGCTCCAGGCACGCAGCTCCCTGAACTCCCAGGAGCTCCTGTGTCATTGGTCCCGGCCACCAGGCTGCTGAGGAGAGGACAGTGTGTGTCCACTCTTGGTGCTTGCGACCTCCAGGGGCCCAGCGCTTGTCCCTGCGGCTCCCGAGTTCCCTGGGGATTTGGGTGCCGCCCTTAGAAAGCCTCCCCACACACCTGCACGGGCCGAACACGGCTCTGAGGACCGTGGCACGTGCCTGAGCCACTCATGACTGAGAAGTATCTGCCCCTCCCTCACTCATCCGCTCACCCACCCATCCGCTCATTTACTTCTTCACACATTCGGCTGAGCTCGCTTTACCAACCCCCTCCTCCGCTCAGCCTTGCATTCACTTATAGATGGACACCGATGGAGACACGGGCCCAGATGTGATTCCTGTGCTTACTCACTCATCACTGAGTCACAGGCCACCCGCTTGTCTCTCTGCCGTTTATCCATGGATTTCCCCGTTTGTTTACACATTGACTCATGTCTGTAACGTATTTGCTAATCCGTTCATCCTCCACCATCCACGCGCTCCCTCAGTCACTGCATTCACTGACTCACACACACTCACACAAGGAGCAAGCCCCATCCTGCAGCGTGCCCGGCACTGCTTCCCTCCAGGGGGTCAGCTCGGGCCGTGAGGACAGGAGTGTCCCTCTGACACCCCTCTTCTCACAGGGGAGCCCAGCCAACCAGGAGCCAAGCCTCCAGAAAGCAAACCACGGGCACCAACGAACTCCCACCTGCTGGAGAAAGGAGAGGCGAGGCACTTCGGGGTACTGGGGATTCAAGGCAAATTGTGCAGGGGGTGCCCAGGTGGTGTGGCTCAGTGGTGAGCATCGACTGATGAACCAGGAGGTCAAAGTTCGATTCGATTCCTGGTTAGGACACATGCCCAAGTTGCAGGTTTGATCTCTGGTGTGGGCCGTGCAGGAGACAGCTGATTGATGATTTTTTTCATCATTGATATCTCTCTCTCTCTCTCTCTTTCTCTCTGTCTCTCTTTCTTTCCCCCTTTCTCTCTGAAATCAATAAATATCTATATAAAAGTCTAAGCGACCATCGCAATGGAACAGATGACCCAACATTGGGGTGACCCAATAGGCAGGGGGGTTAGTGAGGGGTGGCCAAACAACTGAACAGCAGGCTATGTGGGGTGACCAGGCCAGCGGGGGGGGGGGGGGGAGGGGGGGAGGGGCAGTTGGGGGTGATAGGCAGTCAGGCAGGTGAGTAGTTAGGAACCAGAGGTCCAGGATTGTGAGAGGGATGTCTGACTACCATTTTAGGCCTAAGCCAGCAGTTGGACATCCCCCGAGGGGTCCCAGATTGGAGAGGGTGAAGGTTGGACTGAGGGAACACCCCCCCCCATGCACAAATTTTGTGCACCAGGCCTCTAGTATCTACACTAATAAAAGAGAAATGTGCAAATTGACCATACTTCTGCAACACCCATGACAAGCTCACAGGGGATCTCAGACACCATCTTTCCAGACGTTTTCTAACTCGGCTACTTTTAAGGCCCTGCAGAGGCCACCAGGGAAGGGTGGGGACCATGCCCTTCTTGACCCAAAGACCTCTGTTTTTCAGCTGTTTCCCTACTGGACTTGTCTTTCAGAATTTAACTCCAAAAGTGGCCTCTTCCATGCCACCGCCCCTGAAATAAAACATTTTTTAAAAATTGATGGCTAGTTCTCTTGTTTTAAAGAAGGGCAGAGAGGGGTAGCAAGTGCCTAGGGTCATCCAGCAAGCTCTGTGGGAGCCAGAAGGAGACCCCAGCCCTCCAGACGCCCAGGGTCACATTCCCTCCACCCCATGTCCAACCCTCCGGGCTTTCCAGGGCCCCGACACCCATTCCACCTGCCAGGACCGGAGCTTCCAGACAGAAGTGGGAAGAATGGTGAACAAAGGCGGCCGAGCAGTGGGGAAGGTGGAGGGCCGGCCAGGTATGCAGGGCTCCCTGGTGTGTGTGTGGGGAGGGGGGATGGGGGGGCGAGGATTGCACTGGAAATTCCGCAGGAGCACAGCTAGCTGTGTATGGCCGGGGTGCTGGGTTTTGAAACCCTACACATTTTTTAAAATCTATAATTATGTGGCACACACCTAATTAAAACGGACTATAATTGTTGAAATATTTTATTGAAGTCATTTTTTCCCCCCAAACGACAGGTTTAACAGATGATAAAACTTGTCTTGTGGTTACCCCGGGCTGCCAAGACCCCGGGGCAGAGCGCAGGGGCGGGGCGGGGGGCGGACGGGGAGCCCCTCGGAATGACAGCATTCTTCCTAAGCACCGCTCCCCAGCGCGCCCCTCGGCCCCGCGCCAGGCGCTCCGGACGGAGACAAATAGCCGGGGCGGGTGTTTTGTGCACAAAGATGATTGAGGTCTGCTCTCGCTCCGTGGAGAAAGCCTTTGAAATCGTGCTCCCGGGGAGAGAGGGCAGCTGAGATCAGAGGGAGCTGTTGATTCAAAAGCACAAGGGAGAAGCGTGAGCCTCCCCGACTCAGCCAGAAACCCAGGGGCCCGCATTCCAGGCCTCGGCGGGCAGCTGTGCGCTCACTCTCTTCACTTCACTTTCTTCACTTTCTCCGGGGGACGGGGCGGAGGCCTCCCCGGAAGCCTCCCCGAGCAGCTGCGAGTCACCCCGTCTCCCAGGTGCTCCGAGGGGGTGTCTTTCAGCTCCACTGCCCACTTTGTGGATGAGGAAACTGAGTCACAGAGGAAGGCCCGGCTCTGTCCAGCCCGGAGGCCAGCGGGCCTCCCTGTACGGTCTGGCTCAGGCCCGGACAAGGCGAGGAGGCTTCCTATGTATCAGCTGGGGGGCAGGAAGGCCGAGAACACGCCCCAGGATTGGAGGTCCTTTCCGTGTGGTGTGTCCGTGTGTCTGCCAGCAGCATGGGGTCCGAGGAGGGGGAGGGGAGGAGGGGTGCGCCGACACCCCAGCCCGAGAGGCCGATATCAGGCCGGGTTGGGAACGAGGGCAAGTGCGTGCTGTGACCTGGCCCGGAACCGGCGGTCTTTGTGCCACAGTCCGACCTCAGGGAAAGAGAGTGCAGGGCCCGGGGGCGGGGGGGGGGGGGGGGGGAGCCACGTGCTCCCCAAAACCTACACTCAGTTCCAGCTCCAGCCGCCATCCCCACCACGGGAGGTGGTGGGCCTCCCCACGTCTCTGAGAACAAACAAGGACAAGGGCTAACGTGACGCAGCGAGCAGAAAGCTCCCACATTCCCACAGGACAGAACTTTCTGGAAACTTCTCCATCGGGTGGCGGTTGGGGTGGTTGTTTTTCCAACGTATTACCTTCGTTCTGCCTTCGTGTGTGTGCCTGCCACCCCTCCGTGTAATCCGCATGCAGTTGGTTTTCATGGAGCACCTACTAAGCGTGAGACCCAGTGCCGGCCGGGCATCCCTCCAGCCAGGAACGGGGCCTGGAAGGCATGGCTACACACATACACACACACACACACACACACACACACACACACACACACACACACACCACACACACACACACACACACACACCACACACACACACACACACACACACACACACACACACACACACACCACACAAACCCCGGCTCAGCCCAGGCAGCGGGGTGATGTGAGCAGGCCTCTGCCCTGAGTGAGCAGCTTCTGCTCTGCAGGCAGGTAAAAGCCTCATCCGACCTCCTGACCTCAGAATGCCATGCCATCCGGAAACAGGGAACCCCGGCTGCATGGGGCCAGGCTCGGGCAGAGAGTACTCCCCCCACCCCCAGTCACCCTCCTCCGGGGAGGCCTCTCTGACAGCTGCCGGGAAGGGGGGCTATTTGCATGGAGCAGCCTGATTGTCTAAATTCCTCCCGGAGGCACTGGTTCCAAATTAACATGTGGCAGGTCTGTTCCCTCCATGCCACCCACCCAAACCCCCCTTCACCCCAGCAGGACGTGCCCTCCCGGCCCGCCTCCCATCCGCGTTCTCACCGCGATGAGCACTTCCATCTGCTCACCCAGCGGTTACCCAGCGTCCCTCCCGCTCACCTCCTCCCTCCCCCCCCCACCCCAGCCCCCAGATCTGGCCACACCTGTTGGATCTGTCCATTTGGCGTGGGAAGCCCGAGCCGTGCCCTGCCCTGCAGCCCTGAGCCCAGGAGCGCGGAGAGGGCAGCATTACACTACGGAACGAATTAATTAGCCCAGCTCCCGCCCAGCTGTCTCCTGTCCTGTCCCATCGACCCTGAGAGAGCGCCTCCCGGTGCCCCCCGAGGAGAGAAAGAATGGCAGGAGCTCGCTGCCAAGGTGACAAATGGCCCAGCCAGGGCTGGGGTGCCAGTCACACTGGGAGCCTCTCACCCGTTTGCTGTGCGAACCACTGCCTTGGGGGACGTGTGTCCTGGCCTCCGGTCACTGCCTGCGGGAGCATCCTGTGGCCAAGGGACTGCAAGGGGGTGCCACTGGCCCACCTCAGGAGAGGGATGGGGGTGGGGGTAACTGACCTGAAACCCCAGCAGGTGCTCAGCTGTGAAAGGGGTGAGTGGGCTGACGTCTTTGCAGCACTCCCATCCCCACTCTTCGGAGCCCAGTGAGGAGGAGCCAGGCTGCCGGGGGCAGGGAGCTGGGCCTGGGTGGTGGGTGTTGGGGTGCTGGGCTGGGCAGTGGGGGGCAGGGAGCTGGGCCTGGGTGGTGGGCAGCAGAGAGCTGGGCCTGGGTGGTGGGCAGCAGAGAGCTGGGCCTGGGTGGTGGGCTTCGGGGAAGGTGTGCTTTGCAGGAGGGCCGCCTGGGCACAGCATAACACCTGATAGCATCCTGGCTCCTGCCACCTAAAACCAGGATGTGCCCCGAATCCAGTCCCCAAAATGACCACCAAAAAGGCCTCTAGATATCGCCAAACGCCTCAGGGGGAGGGGCAAAGCCACACCCTCCCCAAGCTGAGAGCCCTGCCTTAGAGCTGTCCCTCCTCCTTAAGAAGGGCCCCCACTTCTCTCAGGGGCCCTCAGAGACTCAGAAAAGGCAGTTCCCCCAGAATAAGAAGCACAGAGTACAGGCCCAGTGTGGTGGCAGTATTGCCATTATTATTATCACTAGAGGCCCGGTCACAAAATTCATGCACGGAGGGGGTGGGGGGTTAGAGAGAGGTGTCCCTCAGCCCAGCCTGCACCCTCTCCAATCTGGGACCCCTTGAGGGATGTCACACTGCCCATTTAAACAGGAAGTAGGCATCCCTTTCATAATCCAGGACTGCTGGCTCCCAACCACTTGCCTGCCTACCTGCCTGATTGCCCATAACTTCTTCTGCCTGCCAGCCTGATCAACCCCTAACCATTCCCCTGCCAGCCTGGTCTCCTCTAACTGCCCTCCCCTGCTGGCCTGGTTGCCTCCAACTGCCCTCCCTGCAGGCCTGGTCCTTCACAACTGCCCTTCTCTGCAGGCCTATTCCCCCCAACTGCCCTCTTCTGCATGTCTGGTTGCCCCCAAACTCTCTCCTCTGCAGGCCTGATCCCTCCTAACTTCCCTCCCCTGCTGGCCTGATCTCCCACAACTTCCCTCCCCTGCTGGCCATCTTGTGGCAGCCATCTTGTGTCCACATGGGGGCAGCCATATTGTGTGTTGGAGTAACCGTCAATTTGCATATTGGGCTTTTATTGTATAGGATTATTATTATCATCAGCAACTTGCCTGTTGCAGTTAGGAACAGATCCCTACAAATCGGTGGTGGCACCTGAAGGGCGGACAAGAACCTCACAGTCTGAGTCCTCTGGCTGATTCCCAGGACGCTGTCAGTGAGTCTGCTGGCCCTTAGGGGACTCAGTGCTCTGATGTCCAAAATGGGAAGACTAAAGGAGGTGACCCTCAAGGACCATTTAAACTTATATGTTTTTATTGATTTGAGAGAGAGGAAGGTGGGGAAAGAGAGAGAGAAACATCCATTAGTTGCCTCCTGTATGCATCCCAACCTGAGATTGAACCCGCAACCTGGGCATGTGCCCAGACCAGGAACTGAACCAGCGACCTTTCAGGGCATAAGATGTCACTCAACCTACAGTGCCACACCGGCCAGGGCTCAAGGACCATTTTAAATCCAGTATTGCCAGATCTTCCAAGTTCTGCCACTCTGGCTGTATCACACAGCCCCAGGAGCAGGGGCTGTGGGACTGTCCACCTGGGTCAGAGCATGGCCCGCTGGGTGACCTGAGCAGGTTCCAAGTCTCTCCCTGAGGAGCCTGGGGTTGTATCTGCCTCGTTTGATGGTTACAAGTGTGAGCTGACATGGACAGTGCCCACACCAGCAGTAGCCCTATAACAGGGAGTTACTGTCATCGGAAACACCCCTGGAGCATGAAAAACACAGGCCCTCAGTCCTGATCACAGGTTCACTGAATCGAATGGTCCCAGGTGAAACCAGGTGTGCATCGTAGTTTTTAAATTCTCCCCACTCCCCGCTCGCCCCCCTCCCTGCCCTGTGATTCTGAAGTCATGGTCCCCTGTCCTAGCATTTAGGAACCATTATGAGTTATACTACATTAGTGGCCCAGTGCATGAAATTCATGCACGGAGGGGGTGTACCTCAGCCCAGCCTGCACCCTCTCCAATCTTGGATCCCTCTCACAGTCTAGGACTGCTGGCCCTAACTGTTCACCTGCCTGCCTGCCTGATTGCCCCAAACCACTCTGCCTGCTTGCCTGCTCGCCCCCAACTGCCCCCTCACTGGCCTCTTGCCCCCAACTGCCCCCCTTGTCAGCATGCTCACCCCCAACTGTCCCCCCTGCCAGCCTGATTGCTTCCAACTACCCTTCCTGCTGGCCTGCTCACACCCAACTGACGCCACCCCCTCCCACCAGCCTGATTACCCTAACTGCCCTCCCCTCCTGGCCTGATCACCCCTAACTGCCTCTGCCTCAGCCCCACCACCAGGGCTTTGTCTGGAAGGAAGTCCAGAAGGTCTCTGGAAGGTTCTCCCAGTCTAATTAGCATATTACCCTTTTTTTTTTTTAGTATCAATTCTCTGATGGTAGAAACATTCTATTCTATTCACGAGTCAAGTGCCACTCCGTTGGGGGCCCTGCGTGGTAGAAAGGTGGCAAATACATTCTGTCCTCAGGGAGCCACCATTGAACCAGGTTAAGACCAACATAGAAAACAAAACATGGCCCCAGAGGACCACAGACCAGCACTTAGAGGCGAAAGATACAGGACAACCTCAGGGCGGCCGAGGGGCTGCACAGGTGTGGGCTGCCCTGCAGTGCCAGGAGAGGCGGCTGCTTCTCGTCACACAAGCAACATCGGGCAGTGGAGGCCAGAGGTCACCGTCCCCCCGGCCTGCCCTGGGAGCTCCGGCTCACCTGTCAGTGCCAGGCTACCCCTTCTCTGGGGAGACCCACAAATGGAACTGACACAGCGCCATGCGTGCCCAGTGAGGGTTCTGCCTCCCCCAGATTTGAGCTGCATGCTTGGGCCGATGCCCCTGCAAGAGTTTATGAGTTCCTTGAGGCCAGGAACTGGCTCTTAACTTTGTGGTGTTCCCAGCGTCGGACACAAGGCCTGGTATACAGTAGGTGCTGAGCAGATGTTTGCTGAGTGGATGGTAAGATGAATAAACAAAGGAACAACTACCTAAGAGGGTTTTAGTGCGCATCCGTGGGAGGGACAATGCACCACTTATTAAGGGAGCTGGGTGCAATCTGGGGCAACTTCTCGGAGGAGGAGGAAAAGAAGGAGGAGGAGGAGGAGGAGGGGGACATGGGCCTCGAAGGATGGTTTTTCTGGGTGGAGATGTGCTGCAGAGGAAATGGAGGGGGCTG